TGGCCTCCAAAGTGCTGGATTACAGGCATACAGCCACCACGCCAGCTAAGGTTTTTATTTTATAGAGGACAGAGTTTCACCATGTTGGCCAGGCTGGTCTTTATTTTTATTTTTGAGGACCGAGTCTTGCTCCTGTCACTCAGGCTGGAGTGCAGTAGTACAATATTTTTTTTTTTTTTTTTTTTGAGACGGAGTCTCGCTCTGTGGCCCAGGCTGGAGTGCAGTGGCCGGATCTCAGCTCACTGTAAGCTCCGCTCCCCGGGTTTACGCCATTCTCCTGCCTCAGCCTCCCGAGTAGCTGGGACTACAGGGCCCGCACCCTCGCCCGGCTTAGTTTTTTTTTGTATTTTTTTTTTTTTTTTTTTTATTTGAGACGGAGTCTCGCTCTGGGCTGGAAGTGCAGTGGCCGGATCTCGGCTCACTGCAACTCCGCCTCCCGGGTTTATGCCATTCTTCTGCCTCAGCCTCCGTGTAGCTGGGACTACAGGCGGTTCGCGCTAGTTTTTTTTGTTTTTTTAGTAGGACGGGGTTTTCACCGTGTTAGCCAGGATGGTCTTGATCTCCTGACCTCGGTGATCCGCCCGTCTCGGCCTCCAAAGTGCTAGGGATTACAGGCTTGAGCCATCCGCGCCCGGCCTTTTTTTTTTTTTGTAGTTTTTAGTAAAAGACGGGGTTTCCACGTGTTAGCCAGGATGGTGTCGATCTCCCTGACCTCGTGATCCGCCCGTCTTGGCCTCCCAAAGTGCTGGGATTACACGCTTGAGCCACGGCGCCCGGCTTTTTTTTTTTTTTGAGATGGAGTCCGCTCTGTCTTCCGGGCTGGGAGTGCAGTGGTGGCCATCTCGGTTTACCGCAACCTCTGCCTTCTGGGTTCAAGCGATTCTCCTGCTTCAGCCTCCGAGTAGCTGGGATTACAGGCACGTGCCACCATGCCCAGCTAATTTTTGTATTTTTAGTAGAGACGGGGTTTCACCATGTTGGTCAGGCTGGTCTCGAACTCCTGACCTCGTGTTCCTTGGCCTCCCAAAGTGCTGGGATTACAGGTGTGAGCTACCGCGCGCCTGGCTATTTTCCTTTTTCTAAAAATCTAGCTCCTGCAGGATTCTGTGGGTTTTTGTTTCTGCTATCTGGTTGCCTGTTTTTAATGTGGGAATTCAGATAGACATGAAAACTCTAGGGCTGGCACAGTGGCTCACGCCTGTAATCCCAGCACTTTGGAGGCCACGGTGGGCGGATCACCTGAGGTCAGGAGTTTTGAGACCAGCCTGTCTAACATGGGGAAACCACGTCTCTACTAAAAATACAACACATGTAGCCCGGCCGTTATTATATTTTATATATATTTTATATTATAGCACCTATAATCCCAGCTACTTGGGAGACTGAGGCAGGAGAATAGCTTGAACCCAGGAGGCAGAGGTTGCAGTAAGGTGAGATCGTGCCACTGCACTCCAGCCTGGGCGACGGAGCGGGACTCAGTCTCGAAAAAAGAAAAAAAACTGCAGCCACTGTCATCTGCCCAGAATCTCCCCAGCACTCTCAGCTTCCTTGTTTCTTATTGTCGGCCCCCTCCCTTTCCTTCTTTTGCCCCTTTCATCATACTTTTGCTATTTACCTTTTCCTTCTCTCCTAATCCAAACCTTTCTTTTTGCCCTGGGGGCCATATAAATCCAAGGCTTTTGTATCAGATTAACTGGGTTTGGATTCTTGCCCCACTGTTGTAGGATCTTTGCTATAGTACTTTGCTTCTGCTAAGCCTCAGTTTCCTCATTAGTATAGTGGGGATAATAATGACATTAAATAAGATGATACATGCAAAGCCCTTAATGGAGAGTCCAGGACATACTTAATTGTCAGTTTCCAGCAGCTGCCTTTATTGACGTGGCTGCTAATTGCTCTTCCTCACTCCATACCTGGCCCTGTCCTGGGCTCTGATTCAGTTTCATGTGGCCGCCTTGCTCTTCTGGCTTTCTTGGTGCCCCACCCCCCTGCTGTGGCTTCATTCTGGGTGGGTAAGTGGCTGGGGCCGCCTGGCTTGAGCAGGACAGTGGCATTGTGTCTTCCAGGATCGACTGCGGGCCACCTGCACACTCTCAGGGAACCGGGACACCCTCTGGCATCTCTTCAATACCCTTCAGCGGCGGCCCGGCTGGGTTGAGTCTTTCATTGCGGCGCTGAGGGACTGTGAGCTAGCTGATCTCGCGGACGAAGTGGCCTGTGTCTACCAGAGCTACCAGCCTCGTAAGCGTCCTGCCCTGGCCCTCCTCCTGGACCCCTGGCCTGCTCCCTGGCCTCTGCTCTCCCTTCCCCTCTCCCTGTACCTCCTGCCTTTCTCTGTCATCCTCTTTTTCATCACTGTGAAGCGATGGATAAACCTGGGTGTAGATCCAGGCTGAGCCACTTACCAGCTGTGTCCCTTTGGCCAAGTCCCTTAATTTCCCTGAGCCTCAGGCCTCTCCTCTGTAAAATGAAGTTCATGGCAGCATCTGCCGCGGGGGGCTGCAGTGGGTGATACCGCGGGATGATGCGTGTAGAGTACTGAGCTGGGCTGGGCACTTCCTGTATGCCCAGCACATGGGGTCTCCTCTAACTTTCATGGCTGTAGCGTTCGCCTCCCACCCTTCCTCATTTCTTCTCCCCCACCTACTCATTCATCCTCCCTCTCTCCACCTTCTCTTCCCGTCCCCTGGTTTACCTTGAGAGCCTTCAACGCCCTCTACCAACTGCCCAGTTATTCCTTAAGTCTCTCTCAGTGTCCCTGCCACTCTGAGTGCTTGGAGGGGATCTGGTGAGATTGAGTTTGATCCTGAGTGAGATCAAGACATGGGAAGAGGCTGGGCGCGGGGTGTCATGCCTGTAATCCAGAACTTTGGGAGGCTGAAGCAGGCAGATCATGAGGTCAGGAGATGGAGACCATCCTGGCTAAAACGATGAAACCCCGTCTCTACTAAAAATACAAAAAATTAGCCGGGCGTGTTGTCCCAGCTACTCGGGAGGCTGAGGCAGGAGAATTGCTTAAACCAGGGAGGCAGAGGTTGCAGTAAGCCAAGACGCACCACTGCACTCTAGCCTGGACGACAGTGAGACTCCGCCTCAAAAAAAAAAAAAAGAAAGAAAAAGAAAAAAATAGTGACCCCTGAATACAATACAATGGCTGTGGTAGGGCCTGATGAGGGGTGGTGGCAAAGGGGAGGGGCTGAGGCAGCAGCATCAGGGCAGGGGTCAGTGAGCAATGACAATCATGGGGAGGAGAAAGCCACTGGGTCCCAGGATGCCTGGGGACAGAGAAGAGTGACTGCTGACACGGTGTGGGTGGCTAGAGGCCTATGAGGTCCCCCCCCACACTCCCCCCCCTTCCTTGCTACCTTGTCCTCCAACTGCTATCTCCCTCCCACTCCTGCCCCCTTGCCAAGTGATGCTTGTCACTCTTGAGGAGTGGACCCATATCAGAACAGCTTTTGGACCTATGGCTGGGGCGGGGGGTATACCCAAGAGCACCCAAGCCTCTTTCATCATGAGGAGAACCCCCAATTCCTTCTTTTTTCTTTTTTTTTTTGAGACAGAATCTTGCTCAGTTGCCCAGGCTGGAGTGCAGTGGCGTGACTTTGGCTCACTGCAACCTCTGCCTCCTGGGTTCAAGTGGTTCTCCTTCCTCAGCCTTACTGTAGTCCCTGATTCCTTTTTTTTTTGAGATAGAGTCTCGCTCTTGTTGCCCAGGCTGGAGTGTAGTGGTGCGATTCATAGGTGTGAGCCACCGCGTCTGGCTCTCATGCTTGCTTTTCTTTCCTTTTTCTCTTCCTCGCTTTTCCTCCCTCCCTCCCTCCCTTCCTCCCCTCCTCTCTCCCTGTTTTTCCTTCCTTCTTTTTAAATGTGACTCTTCATGTGTGGAGATTAATAGTGATTCCCCCCGCTGGGTGCAGTGGCTCACACCTGTAATCCCAGCATTTTGGGAGTCCAAGGCGGGCAGATCACAAGGTCAGGAGTTCGAGACCAGCCTGGTCAATATGGTGAAACCCCATCTCTACTAAAAATACAAAAAAATTAGCTGGGCATGGTGGTGCAAGCCTGTAATCCCAGCTACTTGGGAGGCTGAGGCAGGAGAATTGCTTAAACTGGGGAGGTGGAGGTTGCAGTGAACTGAGATTGTGCCATTGCACTC